CTACAACACCAACAACGACCACTACAACATCCACAGTGGCGACAACCAGTACATCCAGCAGAACGGCATCAACTGCAACACCAACTACGACCAGTACAATATCCACTGCGGCACCAACCAGTACATCCAGCACAACGGCAACAACTACAACACCAACTACGACCACTACAACATCTACAGCGGCACCTACCACTACATCGAGCACAACAGCTTCAACTACAACACCAACAACGACCACTACAACATCCACAGTGGCGCCAACCACTACAACAAGCACAACGGCAACTACTACATCACCAACTATGACTACTACAACATCCACAGCGGCGCCAACTACTATGACGATCACAACTGCATCAACTACAACACCAACTACGACTTTTACAACATCCACAGTGGCACCTACCACTACATCGAGCACAACTGCATTGACTACACCACCAGCTTCAATGACAATGAGAACCAGAACTGCATCTACCACTTCAACAAGCACAACTGCATCGACTACAACACCAGCTCCAACGACCATGAGAACCACAACTGCCTCTACCACTGCAACAAGCACAGCTGCATCAACGACAACACCAACGACTACTAGCATGTTGTTGACGAAGCCCCCGACTACAAGTCCAGCTACTACAGGTAAGTTTACAAGTGTGACATCGACTAAACCACCTACCGAACACACAACCACAATGGCATCCAGCATAATACCCATGACATCCACAAGTACATCACGAATTGCTACACCAGTTACCTTCACATCTATAACAACAGCAGTAACAATGACAACTGCATCTAACTGCAATCACTGTAAAACTGAAAACTGTCACACAAATTATGAAATCCCCAATTGCACCTTCCACTACAAGCACAGCTTCTTTCTCCACAAGGACCATGAAGCACACAGCTTGGACACCAAGTACAACATTGGTGACTTTTAAAACTGTGCCTACAACTACAAGCACATATACATCTGTTACAACTGTAAATATGACCACTACAACATCCACAACTGTGTCAAACACTACATTTATTACTATATCAATTACAATTAAGATGAACTACATTACTACACCAAAAATTACATCCGTAACCTCCCCAACTGCAAATACCACTAATGGCAGAAATATGTCAAAGACACGCACCACAAAGCCGAAAAACTACAACTACTACAGGTAAGTTTAAACATGTGAAATAAACCAACCCACCAGCAGTACAGACGACCACAATAGCATCCTATTTAAAAGCCATGACATCTGCAAGAACATCAACTTCTACATCAGTGACATTCATTACCATAACTGCCTCCACAACAACTGTACAAACCACTAACACTGCATCCACTACAACCACAATAAAGCTGATGACTATAACACAAGTTATGACAAAATCCAATATGCCTTACATTACAATCGCAGTTCCATCATCTGCAATGGCCTGGAATCCGACAACTACGACAGCAACAATGATGACATCCACAACTGTGCATGCAACTACAACAAGCACATCCACAACAATTTCAACTGCATCTGCGATAACTATGACAACCACAAATGTGCCTACAACTACAATGACAACAAACAACATAAGCCCCACAAAGACAACTGCTGCTAGTTCAGGTAAGTTTACAACATACACAACTGCACAAAGCACTACAACAAACACAACTACATCAACTACAACACCATCTATGACCACTACAACATCCACAGCAGCACCAACCACTACATCGAGCACAACTGCAACACCATCTACGACCACAACATCCACAGCAGCACCAACCACTTCATCAAGCACAACTGCAACAACATCTACTACCACTACAACATCCACAGCAGCACCAACCACTACATCAAGCACAACTGCTTCAACTGCAACACCATCTACGACCACTACAACATCCACAGCAGC